ACACGGATTTGGAAAGGGGGTGTGGGTTTTCTCGTCCTTCTCTTTCTTTCTCGTTCGTTCCTTCTTCGTTTCCCTATCTTTCTCGCCGGTTTTCTTCGCACCTCGTTCCTGGGTCGCCTTCTCTTCCTCTCTCTCCGTTCTTTCCCCCCCCGGCGCACCGCTCCGTTTCCTTCCCTTTCTTTTCCCCCTTTCCTAGGGGGGGAAGGCAGCGGGCGAACACCCTGTAGCCCCCTTCAACTGGGCCCAGAACCATAACAGCCAGACAGCACCGCACAACTTAGACCATTCAACTGTCAACACCCACAATGAACCACCTGAGTAACTAACTCAGGTCACACACACACAGCTGACTCATTCACTCGGGGGTAATGCATGCACTGCTCATCTCTGGGGGGCTTCAGTTTTCCCCAACTGAGAGGTTAGACTGACAGCACCCTCAGGCAGTTATTTCCAACACTTGCCTTTCACCAGTTCCTCCCCTATTGAGCTACCTACCCGTTTGGCACAGTGGTGGACAATTTATGCCTACCACCCTGTTGCAGACTATACACACACTCATAACCCAGCATTGCAGGTTCAAACCACATTCCCCCTCTTCATGAAGAGTCTATTTTACACCTCTCCAATACATCACAAACATAACCGGGAACGTTTTTGGTGTTTTTCCCCAACGGCCCCCCGGCCCCAAGGACCTTTTTTATAAGAGCCCTGAGTATCCGAGACACAGTGCTCCTGTGATCACCACTTTGTCTACTTCGTTCGTGACGGAGAATTTTGACTCTTTTTCTTTTTCGCTGCCTCTGTCGGTAGCTCGACCAGAACCATGCATCGCTGACTAGAGCCATCACTATGTGCTTAGCTCCTACACAACAATACTGAATGCGTATGTGAGGGAGTGCTTTGGGCATGAATAGGCACTTGAGTCAATGAATAAGGAAGCCAATTCAGAGCACAGCACCTCTATACTTACACTATATGTGAGATGCGGAATAGATCATACACTGTGTGTATTTGTGCAGGCCGCAGGCACGAGACTTTGTCCTGACGTCAGAACCCACAGCTGAGATTTGTCACTTTTCTGACTTGCAATTCCCTTATATATATATACACGTGGTATAGTGACAGCTTTTACCATTCTCTCCCTCTCCCTCTCCCTCTCGCACTCCTTCTCTCTCCCTCCTCCCTCCTGCGTCACCTATCACATCCATTAACGACAGGAGCTCCCTATTAAGACGTGAACGGTTCCGTGGCCGTCTGTCGAGGAGATGGAGGAGACGCCAGGGGACTGGTGTTCAAAAGGTCACGCGACACTCGATCCACACTCATGGTAACGGGAAACTTGCGCTTTGAACTCATGGTGGGGGAGGACTGTTGGGTGAGGAACTCCCTTGGACTGTTGGAGCAGAGGATGGCTGTCCGGATGGCTTTCACAGCAACCTGGACAAGAGACAATTAGTGGTAGCAGTAATGGAGGGGTGCTTGGTGTGCACTACTTCACAATTTTCATACAACACTGATTGTGGGTACATATATGTGCAGTGCGATTCACAGCAAAATTGCGTTGGGTCGCACTTTTCACAATATCCAACACTCAGACAACTAGGTACATAGGTCGTTTCACTCCCCGATAGTGATACTTACATATCTTTTTGTACATAATATATCTTTTATGTACATATATAAGGTCTGAGCATAGGTTTTAGTGTGAGTATTCGCCCATGGAATACCTTTGTCTGCCTCACAATAGCTTAATGTACACACATTAGAAACCCGTTGTGCGAGGTATTCACTTAGCTGTAGCTGATCAATCCAGTTTAACAGGCGCTGTCAACTGGACTAAGTGTGTATGAAAACTAGACCGACAAGTTAACTTAACCGGTTTATGCAAACCAGACTGACTAACAAGAATGGTACTGTTCAGTTAACCAGAACCAGAACGGCAGGTGTATGTAAGGCACGACTTTGGTGTTGTTGTGGGTTTGTGACCGGTTCAACATTGAACCGGTACTGAGGTGTTGGGGTAGGTTGTTTTACAAGACCTGTTTTTGGTGTTTCTGTCGATGGGGAGGGGGGGGTGTTGTTGGGTGTTTGGGGGTGTGGTGTTTTGTGTTTTTTTTTGTTGGGGTTGGGGTGGTTTTGGTGGTTTGGGGGGGGTGTTTGTTTGGTGGGGGTTTGGGGGTGTTGGTGGGGGTTTGTTTTTGGTTGGGTGTTTGGGTTGGGTGTTTTTTGTTTTGTTTTGGTTCCTTTGAGGTGGATGCGGTGTGTCTTTGTTTGACTAGAGTGAACTTGTCGGCCTCTCGTCCACAAATACTCACCACAACTGCTGGCCACTGCTCAACTGTGGTACCACCATCAGACCAAACCAGACCAAACCATGCACACAGGACCACATACCAAAACAGAAAGAACATAGCGACTCTATAGCAAAATTTACGTTTGATTGAAACTTACCGCGATCTTAGACTTGAACTCGTACTTAAACTCTGCCTGCTCGAGGCAAATCTTCCGCGCAAAGACGACGGCCGTGTCAAACACAAAGACGTGTCTCTCCTTCTCAGCCTTGATGGTGAACTTTGTCTCCGAGACCTGGAAACTGCCCTGGAAATAGAGCTTTCTCACTGTATCTTGGTGCTCCTGAGGAGGAGGAGGAGGAGGAGGAGGAGGAGGAGGAGAGAGAAGAGAGCACAGAGATTGGGTTAGAGAGAGAGGAGGAGTAGAAAGTGGTGAGAGCAAGAGGAGGAAAGAGGTGGGAAGAAGGAGAGGAAAGGTATAGGAGTCAATACATGTATATAGGAAGTGTCAATCTCTTCATTTCTGCAGACCTCAAAGTTCTGGAGGTGGCTGAGGTGAATGGCGTTGTTTGTCTCAGCCAGAACCCTCTCCACTGCCCTCAGTCCCTCCTGCGCGTGCACACACACACACACACACAGAGCAAACAGCGGTAGTCAATACAGAGCCAGTGGTCCAGGGGTGGGTTCTATCATTCCCCACAGAGGCTCCTTTGATTGTACTAATTCCCATAGATCAGCAGTGTCTGGCTGAAGTATGAGGCTACCAAATGGGGGTGACAGCCCCCCCACCTACATACAGTCATTCTATATGGGGTTTTGCAACATGAGGAACTAGGAATTGCCAAGAGAGTGTGTCTTGATACAGCACAAGAACAAATGGACATGATTTGAAAGGGCAGACTACATGGGAGTGTTTTTTTTATATGCAAAGAGGACTTTGCCCTGTCAGCATCCTATTCCGTAAGAGCTAAGTTTGAGAGTATATATTACAGTACCTAAAGGCACCACCAAACGGCCTGAATACCTCTGACATTGAGTTCAGAATGCTTAGTGTAATTGGTTGCTGGCACGACTTTTTGCATTCTACGCATGTTGCGCAAGCGTCTGTTTAGCACTCAACAGAGGATTTGTAGAGTTGGCTGACTAGCGTTGTCCTCTCGCAGTGTATGCATACACTCTTATTCTATATATACCTAGGCAAGGCCTACTTTCTCGTCTTGGGAACACTGTCAGCGCTGCGCAGAACGTAGCTAAAACGCAATGTTTACTCGAACCTGAGTCCAGTTCATAATTATATGGACATGCAAACCCAAGTATATGGATCTAACAAGCATGCACATGTACACCGCTGGTTATAACCTCCTTCTAACGCTGTGTAGAAGCAAATGGAACTAAAGCGTAAACATTGCCACACACAAGATTTAAATGGACATGTAATAGGCCTATGAGCTTAGCCCACTTCAGGAATTGAAGGCACCTGACATCTCAGAGCACTTTTAATATCCCTACAAGTGCCCTGCCATAAACCCTCATCTGAGGTTGCTGGGCAACGTGTAAGACCTTCAAACCAATAGTCAATTCTAAGTTATTTAAGCTCCGGGATACATACAGTATGCACTGCCTCTGATTGGAAATAATTCACACAAAAGTTTCCCAAAAGTGTGTGCCCTAGATTTCAAGGAGCCAAAGTTAATAACAAGCAACAGCCTGCAGATCCCTAGTAATACTGGCTCATTGGGGAAGTAAGAGTCAATGGAGAGGGGAAGTGACAACAAGTCACTTCCTGCCACTTGCACAACAAATTGGGGGAGATTAGGTATGGATGGCCTCAGGGGAGACCTCCCTCTGTACTGGATTATTAACTGTCACATAATGTGAGGTGGAAATGACAAGGTGAGGCAAATTACGTGAAGAGAAGCACCACAATGTAAATACCTCTAATACAGCTGTAGGTTGTCCTAGAAGACTGGTGTACCTGATAGCATCCTGAAAGAGAGAGAGGGAGGGAGAGAGAGGGAGGGAGGTAAGGAGGGAGGGGGAATGAGAAGAAGGGAGAAGGAGAAGTTATCGCATTGTAGAGCAATTAAGAATAAATGCTCACACCTATTAAAATATTTTGAATAATGTCATTATGAGCATATTAGTACTTCACAGCAATAGAGAGCAGTTACAAGTTATCACAGAGTACAGAGGCATATATACACTACAGAGGCGTTGGCAGTGTTAGCACACAGAGCACATGGCAGTGAGCTGCATACTCAGGAGGTTAATGATGGTGTGTCTAGGAATGCTGGCCCACTGAATACCAAGACAAAACACGTGTAACCATACTATCCTGTATTCCTCTAGAGACAATGTTATTGCCTGCAGAGGTAACCGAGCAATTAAAATTTGTTGCCCATAATTCAACAAAACTATGTTGATTAGATTCTTGCCTCTAGCCAGTAGGCCAATGTATTGTACAGAGCTTCCAAGTATGTGCGACTCACATCTTTATGAAAATAGCGTGTATATACACACAATTTTTTGTCAGCCCAGTGCTACACAGTACTGCACTACCCAATGCTAGAAGGCAGGCTACACAGTATTGCTCTCTGTCTAGAAGGCATGCTAGACAATATTGCAAAATTAGTCATTTTGGATGTTGACTTGCTAGAACAACCGAGTCAGTGGGGAGTTGGGGGTGGCGACTGAAAATGAAGGCAGACTACATGTCTATCTATTTCTTGCCATCAGGGTGACGGCTATGCTAGCAAGTTACGGGGTCCCTATTCCCGTTAAATTGCCACAAAACAAAAGCACAAACGTGTCAGAACAATACCCAGTTAGCGGCGACGCTCGTCGGCCAGCCAACTGATACGGAGAGCCCAGTCTTACTACGCAATTTATGTACCATAATCTTCATAGTAATTCCGCAGACCAACCTATGTACCTCTGTTTCATCACCAACTTTCTTCGTAGCTTCACGGAGAGCGCAGAGTCCTATCTCCGCATATACATGCTCGTAAAACGACCGCCGCGCTGGGTAGGTATACTACTGCTTTTTAACTCACCCTGTTCTGTCGCCGTGTAGGACCTCTTTGCAGCAGCCTAGCTAGCTGCACTCTCACACGCGGTTGACGATCGATTACTGCGGACAACGTACAGGTAGCTAGGTGTCTGCACGCGAAACCTATTAATTTATGCGCGCATGCGCATATATTTCGCTCACCCACGCGCGCGCATGCGCGATGCACGAGCTGTGCAGTGCATGCCATGGTCATTCCCCAATAATGCCGCCAATAATATCCGCAAACTTGGAAACTGTGTTCTTCAGCATACCTTTAGAAGTAGAGGGTACTTGGTGATCCTCTGGATAGGTTTGATGAGCAGAGATGCCAGGGGCATCTGTAGACCAAACATGACTGCATCCGCTGAAATGGAGACTAGGACAGAGAGACGTAGGGAGGGAAGTGCAATGATGCCTGATGTTTGCACACAGAGAGGTGGTATATTTGTCCGTGACTCGTCTAACAGTACTGCATGGGGTGAATCTACATAAAAACAGTGGGCAGCAGTGCCCAAGACGCGTAGATACCACGCGTCTAGACCCGTCCTCAGATATACCTGCAGGATTGCTATGATTGTGTGAAACCTAACACACACGACCAGCTTGTACCTGGACCCAGCAGCATGGCGGAATGACTGGCATCCAGAGGAGTCGCAGGGTGGGGACTTTATAACTTGCCCGCCTCCCATCTCTCAGGTGGGACTTAGACCTGCCCCTCCCATCTCTCATTACATCACATTACATCTTCTCCCCATCTCTCATTTTACATTACATCACACGCTCATGACTACCTTATAGCTTGTGCTAGAATGGAGACCGTATGTACATCATCATACGCGGTGGGTGATTTCTTTGATTGTATTTCAACACGGTTTATGTAAACATAGCTGCCGAATACTAATTAGTGCAATTTCTCGTTGAGGGCCAGATGTCAGATGACTGAAGGTTAATGTAATGTTGCTAACGAGTATACTGGCACATTCCAGTTACTAGAACTGGCAACACATGCAGCTATAAGGGAGACAGAAAGATTTATTCTCACGCATGCAGGTACATAAAGCGGCATGGACAGTCGTGACATTAACCCCATGCATTACTATACTAGTGCGGATGCTGTACTACACACTACTATGGACTGAGCAGCACTGAAGCATGGCCTCAGTCACATTACGCAAACTAGTCGCTTAGTTGAAGAAACCAACCCAACTTTAAGGAAAACACAAACACAGTGTAATGCATAGACACAGGACAGCACAACTCTTCTCTGTGACACAGATGGCAGCAATTGTCCTTGCAGCTGCCCTGTCCCAGTGTTACAACTACTATTCACATGACTCTTAAATAAAGGATGCAGAGTTTACAACTAGGACATAATAATGAGCAAGCTACGTAAGAAGAACGCAAATTGCTCATGTGTGCGTCAGATAAACCATAGCTGCATTATGCACTCTAACTACACGTCTCAATTAGGACCTGATACAGAAAGCAACGTGATAAAAGCTTGCATAATGGGTGGCTAAATCCCTTGCTGATAGGGAGTCAAGTGGATTCATTTCATTAACTCACCGAGAGGTATGTGCGGTGACTAGTAAGAAGATCCTCTGATGCCATCTTGTTCTTACAGTATGGGACATATACACCAGTCATATCGTCAGCCTACATACAAAGTAAAAAGTGCACATGCTTATTATATTTAAACTGTATATATTATGGAACCAGAGTCTCGGGTACCTTTGGAACCAAAGTCTCAGGTACCTTTGGAACCAAAGTCTGGGGTACCTTTGGAACCAAAGTCTCGGGTACCTTTGGGACCAAAGTCTCGGGTACCTTTGGGACCAAAGTCTCGGGTACCTTTGGGACCAAAGTCTCGGGTACCTTTGGAACCAAAGTCTCGGGTACCTTTGGAACCAAAGTCTCAGGTACCTTTGGGACCAAAGTCTCGGGTACCTTTGGAACCAAAGTCTGGGGTACCTTTGGAACTAAACCCTCAGGTAACCTATAATACACCAGGTTTGGTGGTTTTCACAGTTCAGTATATAAGAGTGGTAAGGGGATCACTTACAACGACCTTATTTGATGGCGTTCCAAACGGATATCAGATTACAGGGTCAGATTGCAGTAAGTTACGTAATAATTACTGTGATGTTGGCATATGATACTTGTTGTCCAAATGAAGGGAAACACGAACTACCCCACACTCTAATAATAATCAGCGGAGGCTCTTCCCTACTACTGAAGGTCATCTGACACAGTCTGTCTGGCATGCACAGAATACCACATTTGCAGCCATTGCACATGAATGACACTGATTGGTAGGGTGCCCCCGCTATAACTGTGCAGGTCTACGGTGGCCAGTACATTTTATATACAAAACCACAAACGTGTTTCACTGATGATGATGAGTTGTTGCATAACAGTAGCATGTGAGGATGAATCTCATTAGCTCAGAAGGGCTGCCAGTTGCTAGTTAGCTTTCAGGATGTGTAGCTTCTGTCAGTAGCATATACAGTGAGAAGTGACGATACATGGGAGCAGGAGATCAGGGCCATAATTATCCCTTTCGAGTGTCACCGTTCTACACACATTTAGAAACGGCAACAAATGTGAACTTGACCCGGTAGGCGGGGCCGGCCAGGCGGAAGATCAGTACAGCAAAAAGATATGCAGAAAATAAACAGGGAAAAGTGGATAAATTTTGTCAATCATTTGTAAATATATTAAAACATAAAAATTATTTAAATAAAAATATATAGCAAAGTTACTGACATATTTTATCTAAACCACCCACTCCCAGCATCCTCAGAAGTTGTTTGTCGGCTACTGCGAGTGGATGGCGTCAGAGCGTTGATGTTGCTTTCATCATCGAACCCCTTATTCAAAAGTGAAAGTGAAGAGGTCACGGATACGCGTGTAGTGTTCCTCGCTGGACCATAGGCAGACACAGAGGCTGTGTAGGCTGTTAGGTCTGTAAAACGGCAGGGATGAGTGTGTGTGCGCTGGCATGAAAGAGTGTGTCAATTTGGGCAGAGCACCCAACCCAGGGTAGAGCGGTCAGAGAAAACGCTATATCAAGCGCAGAAGCTGATCTCCCGACTGAAAGAGATATCTGTGTTATTACATGTCACAGTTGTTGCAATGGTTCCTAGAGGGGTAGGTGCACTAGGTCAGTGCTCAACTCACAATCCGAAGTCGCCTGTACACACGTCACATTCCGTGACGAAATTTGTCCTATTCCCCGAACTGAAACACGCCTTGGTTGTAATACATGCCACGTCTCCTGAGGAGCTCTCTCCGTAGTGTTTTATATTCCTGTGCCCGTAAAGTGTGTACGAAATCTCGTAAAATTACGGATGTATCCGTGTGATGAAGTTGGAGGCTCTCTTGCAGTCTATACCAACTAATGCCTTGGTCATGCTAACGAGTGCATAGATTGTGTATATACATAGAGATTGGTGCACTCTTAGTCAGTGGCGGCATGCTAGTATTTTGAAGTTCCGCTGTCCTGTAGTGAACGTTGTCGGCTGCGCTCGTGTGTGCGCACTAGCGCTGCGACGCCTGCACGCAAACGACAGAAGAGGTTTCGCGGAACTCCAAACGCACTCCCCTGGCATCCGCCCATCTGTGCTAGTAATAGTAAGCAATTTACCAGAGTGAAACATCAGGGAGGGTGGATGTAGTATCACTCTGTGATGGCTCAGCGGCTCTGTACATCACAGGAACTGTATTATTACATAGAGATGGTGCACTCTTAGTCAGTGGCGGATCTAGTATTTTGAAGGGGGGGTTCCGCTGTCTTGAACGTTTTCGGCTGCGCTCGTGTGTGCGCACGAGGCCGGCGACGCATGCACGCAAAACGACAGAAGGGGGGGTTCCGCGGAACCCAAGGAACCCCCCTGGATCCGCCACTGTTAGTAATAGTAATGCAATTTACAAGAGTGAAAACACAAGGAGGGGATGTGTACACTGTGATGGCTAGCGGCTCTGTACATCACAGGAACTGCAAAAGAGGCAGTGAAAAGAAGTGCAAGTGATAGCCACATGACGTTTCAGGAAGAGAACTGAATGCACCTGTGGGATAACCTTGGCTTGACGAGCTCAAACACCGGTTGAGGCTTTTCACCAGGCGTTAGGGAAACTACAGTACAATAGAGAATCCTCTCAAAAGGACTGTGTTGTGACTTGACCTTCGATGGCTGATAGAGAACAGACTAGCACCACAACCTGTCCTTGGATTATGGAGGGAGCTGCAAGCCCAGAAGAGCCAGTTTAATACCCAAATACGTTTGAGTCCTCTCGGGTATAGAGCTCGCAATTAGTTATTCTGATCAAAACATTTGACATCAGAAGACCCACCCACTGTTATGCAACTGATGTTTATTAGTGACATCAGCACGGTCTGCATATGCATAATTGGTGCACACTGTCACAGTGTGTATGTGCATGTCAACAATGGCAAAAACAAGACAGCAAACACCAGGGCAACTCAATTTTCAAGAGAACTGTCTAGGGTGTGATTCGAACCTCGACACTCTGCAGTCTAGATGAGCGCTCTTCCAACTGAGCTACCAGGGCAACTCAGCTGGTAGGGGTTCAAATTTCCAACACAACACAACACAAAAGACAAAGGCAAACCATAAACCACTGTGCTATGGAACACTACACTCTTACTCAGCATGTGCAGTATGTAGTTGTGTGGACGTATTTGGCAAAAACGGTGCTCCAATCCATCGCTGATTGGGAGTAAACGAAGACAATAGAGAGGGAGGGGTGAGAGGGAGGAATAGCGAGAGAAATGGTTGGGTGAAGTGAAGGAGTAAGAGTGGGGGAGGGAGGGAAGGATGAAAGGAGAAGGAGAAACTCACACATTCAATGAAGACGCGGGCTGCCTCGTCGGTGGTTGTGGCCCTCTCCTTCAGCTGTGGGAGTAGGTGGAGTCTGTGGAAGTCATCCACGTCCTGGATGTTACTGAAGATGATGTCCTCCTTTCCCTTTAGGGTGCTCGGCAGAACCTCCGACACAAACCTCGGGCGACATTTCTGTCAGAAAAAGTAGCCTTATTTCAACAGCTTGTAGACATGCACACACGCACACACACACAGTTGTGTTCACTAAGTACGAGCATAGTATTATGATGTGTGTATGTATGTACGTATGTATGTGTGTATGTATGTACGTATGTATGTGTGTATGTATGTACGTATGTATGTATGTATGTGTGTATGTATGTATGTACCTCTATAAGTTTCAGGTCTGCTACATACGTCTCCTCTGTCTGCAACATCTCCTCAAGAACTCGCCTGGTGTCGAGTTGTGCACTCTTTCATAATATCTCACCAATCCTCTTTTCCACCCTCCGCACACACTCTCTCTTTTTGTACCCCCTCTCTCCCCTTCCTCCCCACACTTGACACCCCATCCTCGCTTCCCTCTCCCTTATCCCCATCCCTCCTTCCTTCCTCCTCTCCCCACACAAGCTCTCTCTATACCCTATGGCACCCCTCTCCCTCCCTCACATCACACACACACACACCATCCCTCCCTTCCCCTCCTCCCCGTTCCCTCACTCTCGTTGTTTGGTGAGCTGTCTCTCTCGGTCCTTCTCCTCCCTCCTCCCCGTTCCCTCACATCACACACACACCCCATCCCTCCCCTCCCTCCTCCCTGTTCCCTCACTCTCGTTTGGTGAGCTGTCTCTCTCGGTCCTTCCCCTCCCTCCTCCCCGTTCCCTCACATCACACACACACCCCCATCCCTCCCCTCCCTCCTCCCTGTTCCCTCACTCTCGGTTGGTGAGCTGTCTCTCTCGGTCCTTCCCCTCCCTCCTCCCCGTTCCCTCACATCACACACACCCCATCCCTCCCTCCCCCTCCTCCCTGTTCCCTCACATCACACAACCCCCATCCCTCCCTCCCCCTCCTCCCCGTTCCCTCACATTACACACACCCCATCCCTCCCCCTCCTCCCCGTTCCCTCACTCTCGTTGTTTGGTGAGCTGTCTCTCTCGGTCCTTCCCCTCCCTCCTCCCCGTTCCCTCACATCACACACACCCCATCCCTCCTTTCCCCTCCTCCCTGTCCCTCACTCACACACACACATCCCTCCCTCTCCTCCCCGTTCCCTCACTCTCGTTTGTTTGGTGAGGCTGTCTCTCTCGGTCCTTCTCGCTCTCAATCTGCACCAGCTTCTTGTGGAGTCTCTCCAGCTCCAGTCTGAAGCACTCCAGATCTCTCATCGTATCTCTGGTGCTCTGCTCTATCTGAGCTGCCTGCTCCACCAGCACGTTGCTGTGCAGCTCCGTACTGATTCTCTTTGCCTGCGTGCACGGAGAGAGAAAACCAAAGTCACCAAACAGGCAGAGAAGAAGCATATAGCTGCTGGATGTTCATGATTAAGCAAAGTGAGTACAATTTGCTTACAAGATTAAGCAAATTGAGTGCATAGGTGGCATAACTCCCCCTCTCTTAAACCCAGTGAAGTAAGAATGAACACCGGAGATGTTGGAGGCACAGAACAGTTTTCAGTTGCTAAAAAGCAGGCCTGGGAATGTGTTAACTAGTGTTTTTTCATTAGCACACGGAAATCACGGTACTGATTCTCTTGGCCTGCGTGCACGGAGAGAGAAAAACAAAGTCACCAAACTGGCAGAGAAGAAGCATATAGCTGCTGGGCGTTCAAGATAAAACAAATTGTGAGTGTATAGGTGGCATAACTCCCCCTCTCTTAAACCCAGTGAAGTAAGAATGAACACCGGAGATGTTGGATGCACAGAACAGTTTTCAGTTGCTAAAAAGCAGGCCTGGGAATGTGTTAACTAGTGTTTTTTCATTAGCACACGGAAATCACGGTACTGATTCTCTTGGCCTGCGTGCACGGAGAGAGAAAAACAAAGTCACCAAACTGGCAGAGAAGAAGCATATAGCTGCTGGGCGTTCAAGATAAAACAAATTGTGAGTGTATAGGTGGCATAACTCCCCCTCTCTTAAACCCAGTGAAGTAAGAATGAACACCGGAGATGTTGGATGCACAGAACAGTTTTCAGTTGCTAAAAATCAGGCCTGGGAATGTGTTAACTAGTGTTTTTTCATTAGCACACGGAAATCAGGGAACCACTGAGGGAATCGTTTGCTGACAAACTTCACACATTGCTCTAGCAGCATAGGCGATATTGTGCCAGACCGTGCTTCAAAGGTGCATACTTGGCTTCAATCATAAACAAAGTCCCACTAGAAATGAAGGTTAAGATAGTCATTGGGGGGGCGTCCACTGCAATTGATGACAGTTTATTTTACGGCTCAGTATCAACCCAGCAACCATAAACACTCTCAAGTGTAGTTTGTATAATGCTTACATGGTGGTTGTCTTGTTTGCCTTGCCTTGCCCTTCTACCTCATTACCAAGTTGTTGAGACATGGTAACAGCATACTTAAAAGCTGATCACTAAGCGATTTTTTGAATGGATTAACGTATACAGAGCTCAGGATGTTTGTGTCGGTTAAGAAGATGTTCAGTAGTTAGAGCAGCAGAAGTCTGTTAGCCACCCACTCTACTCCTGAAAAACCCTTGGTAACAAAGTATGGGTGGTGTAGGGACTGTACATCCACAAAAAACCTGGCACTTTAGTCATTCTCATTGCAGTTACCAATTTAAATGTGCACATTTTTGTGACTGCACACCATACGTAATCTATTGCTTTAAGGTTTAAGGGAATGTGGAAGTATTGTACAGGGGTTAAATTTAAACAAATGTTACTAAAAACGGAAACATAATTGCATTCTGGTACTCGGCTCATATTTACTAACTATAGCCCTTATGTAATGCCACATTCAGGTAACCCACATTCACTTTAGCAAAAAGCAGTAATGGATCACACCTGGCTCCCACAGCAGAGATCTAAATATACACTCTCTCTCCCTCTGACCTCAGTGACTCTGTCTTCCTGTTCCTGGACGGTGCAGGCCACGTAGACAGAGAGCTCGTCTCTCACCTCGGCTGCCTCCTCGCTCCGGTCCACGGACTCTGTCCTCTGGGTCAGGGAGTCCAGGAGAGAGCGGGTCTTCTGGACCCAGTTACTACCCTGCAAAAAGACAGCATCATATCACACTTAAAATAGCAGTATAGGTGGTTTTTTTACACTAGCTACAGTGGGTGTGTGCATGTGAGAAATGTAGGTTTAGAATCTGGCATATCAGAGCGGGTCTTCTGGGCCAAGTGTACTGCCCTGCAATACAGACAGCATCAGAACAATCGAATGTAGTACGTGGTTTTACACTAGCGACAGTGTGGTGCGTGCATGTGAGAATGTAGGTAGAATCTGGATATCAGAGCGGTTTCTGGACCCAGTTACTGCCCTGCACACACAGACAGCATTAAGACATGCAGTGCGTGGTTTTTTTAGCTAGTGCTGTGTGTGTAACGTAGGTTCGAATCTGGCATGCAGGTTTGACCTTGTTTTTATCACATCAGGGTGAGCCCATTACTAGCCCTGCACACACCGACAGCATACAAAGTGCTGTGTGTGTGTGGTTGTGTATGTTTGTATGTGAAGACAACGCAGGTTCGATCTGGCACCCAGATTGGTTTTATCATATCACAGGGCGAGTCTTCTAGACACAGTTACTGCCCTGTTCGTTTGTGTAACGGTTCCGCCCATTGCTCTGGGTGCGTGGTCTATGGCCCTAGTGCTATGGCAGCCATCTGAGTATTATTATTACTGCCCTGGACACGAATGATGTCAGAACATTCAAATGCAGTACCTGTTATTTTTTTTATAAGTGCTGTGTGTGTATCAGGTTCGAATCTGGTATGCAGGTTATTGTTATAAATCAGCTAAGCGCGTGAGTATGTCACACCCTGTATAATACACTCCGAACATTCAAATGTAGTAGTACGTCAGTTTTTACACTTTAGCTAAGTGCTGTTCATGTATGTAAGAGATTAAGGTTCAGATCCATGCATGTTGACCCATCAATGACACCAGAACATTCATATGTTTCTGTGTACAACCTCAGTACTGTGTGTGTACTGTATGTGAGAAATGAAGGTTTTGTCATGGTTGACTTTATCTCATCGTCTAAGTCACAGTCAAAGAAGTTAATGCTTACATTAGTAGCGTTGGTGGTTAAATGCACCAGTTATGATGTAGCAGTGTAATGGCGTGCACAGCGAATGGAGTGTGTTGTGCGCTATAGCTAGTAAACATATTCCCAGTCTAGCCTCCTGACCTCAAAGAGGTAGTCCGGAAGCTGAGAGAGAGGTGGAGATTCTTGTGTCTCTGTTCCATGTCGGAATAGAACCGGTCCACTCCCACTCGATGGAGGAGGCGGTGCCACTGATATGATTTGAGTCTCTGTGGCCGTTGGCTTCTACTAGTCTGTAGTGGCAGGAGAGACTCACCTTGGTCTTCATGTCGGCCAATTCTCTGTCGTCGCTACCGTCGTGTTCTGTCAGTAGCTGAAGAGACACTGTTGCGCGCAGCAAAGCAAAGGAGGTCTTCGCGAGGAGCAGCGACGAAATGCGCGCTCCCGCAGAAAGGTGGAAGGGGTGCGCGCGCGCGTCGGAACGAAGCGAGCAAAGCGCAGAGGTGAGGTGTCGCGACGCGCTGGAGGCGAGACATAAGGATTAGATAGTTGAAGTGATGAAGGAGAAAGAGAGGCGGAAAGAGGTACAGGAGGTGGATGCTGAGAGAGCCCAAACAATGCGGCCATATATTACCACACCTCTTCCTTCGACCGTCCAAAGTTGTTCTTGTTCTTGAGCATGTCGGTTCCCCTGGTCTCGAGCCACGCGGTCACTTCGGGGACAGCCTCCTTGAACTCAATGACCCTGCGAGAGGTATCCAGCTGGCCCCTGCGGTGCTCCCAGAGAACCAGCAGACCCTGCAGCTGCTGGTCAACCTTGTACAACTGGGTCTCTATCATTATCTGGAGGGGGGAGGGGGTGTAATGAGTGGGAGAAAGGGAGAGGGTAGGAAGATTTGTAAGTACTAGAACGAATTGCACAACCAATCCACCTTGTACAACTGGGTCTCTATCATTATCGAGGGGGTGTGGGTGATTAATGAGTGGGAGAAAGGGAGAGGGTAAATTAAGTTAGATGAACACCATCAGAATGACCAATCCACCTTGTACAACTGGGTCTCTATCATTATCTGGTAGGGATAATTAGAGGGGGTGTGGGTGATTAATGAGTGGGAGAAAGGGAGAGGGTAAATGAAGTTAGATGAACACCATCAGAATGACCAATCCACCTTGTACAACTGGGTCTCTATCATTACGGTAAAAATATGCGTCTGTCAAAATGAGAGATAACACCATCATAATGAGGATATCGGTGAAAATGTGTCACTTTTTGGATGGCTAGTGTTCGGGATGTCATTAAGAAACACATCTAGACTCAGTGCTCTCCGGAAAAACAAGAGTGACAAAATATACGTGAGAATAGAGTAGCTAAGTGAAGTACTGGCACGGATGACTTTCTTCACCAGGTTACCTCAGATTATTGAATAGAGGCTATATAGTTCACCTGATCAGGGGAGAGAGCCAGGGACACGGTGGAGCTCTTGTAAGACTTGAGACCTGGTCGAGTCTTTCGCGGGGTCACCAGTAGTCGTGGGGAATCCCCTTGCTGGTGCCCAGCCTCCTCGACGACATCATCACCTTCCTCGTTCCCCATGGATCCTCCGGCGGTAGTCGGACTGTTGATGAGGTCATCACTACTCCGAATTCTCTTGGGGGCGGGTCTCCTGATCCCGTTGTCAAGGTCACTTGTATCTCCACTGTCGCTACTGGCAACACTGCGGGTGTCGGGGAGCGGACTGTGGCTACCATACAACTCCCTCCGTGTGGGCGTGGGCGACGATGTAATGGGCGTGACCGTGGCCAGAAAGTCGACGAGCTGCTTCCCCTGAGTATGGACGCTGCCAGTGGCCTGCTCGACGAGGTCGCGAAGTTCGTGGAGGGTCGCGAGGAGGCGTTCTGCGTCAGAGACGCTCATGACCACGTCGCTCGAGTTGAAGTGACTGCGGCACTTTTCCATGATGGAACCCAGCTGAGTGTGTGTGTGTGTGTGTGTTGGATGGAAGAGTGAGGAGGGAGGAATGAAGGAAGGAGAGAGAAACATGCATAAACTGAGTGGCACTAACTTGCACATGCACATCAGGGTTTCACTGTGTATAATACTAATTTCCAGTGTGCCAAATGGTTTTTCACCTTAGCGCCTTCTTTATGACTACTGGCATGTGCTCATATATCTACTCGCTCCTGCAGTGTGTTTATAAGCAGAGGCCCTGCTGTTTTTGCATTAGGCATTCCATGGTCACTAACAGAGGGAGCACTGTGAGCATATTGAAACTGTTTAATCTATTTTGGGGTTTCCCCTCAATAACATTAGGGGGTGATGCCCCTACACTGATACTGCCCATACAGCTCGCTCACCCTCTCCACTCCCTTGTAGAAGCTGAATCCAGACCTGGCCACCTGGACCCTCTCGCCGATGGCTCTACTGGCGAGCTCCTTCTTCTCCCTGAGGCAGCGAGACAGGAGCCCCAGCAGGGTGGCCTCGATCGTTGCATCCGTCCACCTGCTCTCCAAACACATCCACATCCTTACACAGAGCCTGTTGAAAGTGGACAGTGCATAGAGAGAGTGTAAGAACTGGCACGGATAGAGTATTATGGTGTGAGGAGGTTGTTGTGTTTGGTTAAAAAATTCTTTTAGTTCTGTTTTACGAGACATTCTTAAAACCCTGAAAAGGGAATTTTAATTCTTTCTAAATACAGGTAATGGAGTCTCTAGTTGTTCTCAGGGTGCCTTTCGTGGGGCAAATTGTCGTTCCTTAAAAAGTGCCTCTAGTGTATATACCTCAAGTTTCTGGTTGTTCTCAGTGTATCTCTGGAGAGTGGAATTGACCGATGTGAGGGAGTGGCCGATGGGTGGGAGCTGGGCGGTGCTGGAGGTCAGAGTTGAGAGTGCAGAGGTCAAACTCTGGTAGTGGTGACGGAGGAGGTGAAAGGTGAGACATTCTCGGCATTTGGAGAGTTGGGGGACAGCGATACCGTCCAAGGTTCTCCTTGCTGCCGAGATATTTGACTCCAGACCCAATATCGTCGTGGCGACAGGGTGGGCGGGGCCTTAGGTCGAACCAAACATGACAGAGTCCAGCTGCTCAGTTTCCATGGCAATGGTCTTACCCCTGCGGGAATTGATCACATGAGATCAATTGTTCTACTGCTGTATGTGCAGATCCGACCAAATTAGTCCCACTTAATATATAATACCGTTTAATAAAATATCCCGTTTATTATCATACAAACCTGAAATCCAAAACCATTTCCTATGCTTTCCCATATATTTTACTATGCGTATAATCCCGCCTATTACAATTTTGGTTTTTTCCCGTATTGTCTGTATTGTGCAATTAGGCATTCTACAACCTTGGGCAGGAGTTTCGGTCAGTTCTTCATGTAAGACTAAGTTTTGAGTCATGAAATCTGCTGGTCAGCATTTGCATTGTTCTTAGCCGGTAACCCATGTTCATAACCTGTTTTTCTTATGGCATATTGGGTAACCAACAACAAATTTCGTGACTCAAAACTTAGTTGTAACAAGGGGAGTTTCCATTCTCCACCTGGCCAATTAGCTTATGTAAACAGCTAGGCTAGTTTAGCTAGCTAAACAAACTGCGCATTGTGGCTATCTGGGTCACAGTATACATTGGTATACACCCCCCTAGTATACACAGTATACACACCCGCATTGTAGAATATCCCGCATATTATCCTATTTTGTGGACACACTGTGGGTGTCATAATAACTGGGACCCACTATAATACAGTTCTTTGAATCAGAAAAATCTGATTAGTGTTAACGTCAGACTATATATTGTGGTGCAACATGCCCTAACAACCACTCAAGTCCAATAGCCACTTCCTCAAAAGATCGCAGTAAGCAGACCTTTATATACTCAAAGACATTGCGCAAACACGTTTGCTTGGCCTGTAAGTGTCACTCAATACAGGTTACACCGTGTACTACTTACTAGTTTAACCAACAAAACCATGGCATGTGTCAACGATGTCAAAGCAAATGCAAAGGCAACTACACCCAGGACAACTATTTCATTCGAGGAAAGAAGAGCTGCCCTGGGTGGGATTCGAACCCACGGGCCTCTGCAGTTCTAGCCAGGGTTCCCATTGGGGGCCGATTACTTTCAAAAAGGGGGACCAAAAAACTTTTTTTTTGCAACAATTTTCCCTTCTTTTTT